ATCTCAAGCATCATTACACCGAAGCTGTTAAAGCAGGGGGTAAATTGGACAAGGTAAAAGAAAAGAAAAGAAAAAGCACTAGTACATTGTGAGAAGAAAAGCTAACCTTAGGCAGCAACGACGAGCAGAGCATATCATCAGGAAGGGCTTATACGAAGCCATTGATGATGCTTATAAGCGAGCTGCCTGGAGGGAGTAATAATGATTTCTTCATGATGCTCACATGTGCAAGTCAGCCGTAAAGAGGGCGTTAGGTTAACCTGACTTTTGAGGCGCCTCAAAAGTCGTCTCATGTCTCGCGGTTTTTATGTGGGGAGAATTATAATTGCATGGACGTGTGCACGTAACCTTCAGCGGTTACTCGTAAGGGCGCGGTTACCAAAGTCACTCGCCAATGTTGTCGAAGAAGTTCCCGAAGGCTGACTTGGCACCCTGAATTTGTTTCATTGCCTAGTTGGCGAACCCCTTTCCTAGTTGGATTCTGGGTAGTTGGGTTTCTTGTACGTAGATCTCGAGGGTAGTCTAGCTACTTTAGCTGCTACCAGACTCTCTGTTTCTGAGTTCCGAATTGTGCTGTACTGATGAAGGCGTGATTGGGTTCGCCCATCCGCCGAAACTAGTTTACGCAAGGAGGCTTTTCGGAAACTAAGGGTTTTTCAGATCTGCGTTTTTTTCACCAGTTTTTACTGTTTGATTCCTTTGCTTAAGCGTCCTCTCTACTACTGCAGCCCTTCGAAACATGAGTCAGGGTGACCCTTGGGATACCGAATGGTTTCCAGAAAACGAAGAGGCCGGTACTGAAGGACGCGGCTCGTCGAAGAAAGCTCGTGGGCGCGGAGGATCGTCGCGTCCTGCTACCAGGAGTGCATCGAAGCACTCGCGGGATGGCAGTCGTATTCCGCCTTTGCAGTTGACCTACGAACCTGTTTCACGAAGCAAGCAACCTGAGATTCCTCCCCCCGGACCTTCTGGGAGTCGTCCAAGCATGGAGATGCCGGATCAGCCCGTTGACAATTCTCCGATTCCTGAAATTTTCAAGAGTTGGACTACTGCAGCAGTGAAAGATTTCTGGGACGGCTTCAAGGACCTTCTTAAAGCCGGCGGCCCAAATTGTTCATGCTTTTAAAAGTTGACCAGAGGGAGTTTTTCTGGTGTGGGCTTTGGCGAGAGTTTCCGATTTCGTCTAGGTTCGTTTTTTTCGCGAGACCCAGCCAACCCTCGGTTTTCCCCCTGGTGAGTGAATCTGTCTTCGAAAGTCCCAAATTGCAAGTGCGTGACTTTCAAAAGCTTGGACACTCAACTTCGTCAAGTTTTAAAAACTTGACCCTCGCGGCCCGCAATTTGGGACGCGGGCTTTAAAGCGAAAAGCAAGCTTAAAAAGATGAAGGAGTTGGATCGCCAAGGTTCTATTCTGCACAGCATCAGGACTAAGGCGGTCGAATTCCAGACGAAGAACGACTCCGTCAAAGAGAAATCTGCAGCAGCTGTCGCAAAGATCCACTTGGAGAATAAAAAACGGCTGCAGGCGGAGTTTATCGCTTCTAAAGAACTGGAGGTTGAAGAAATTCAGGCAGCTGTCGGCACGCATGTCACGACTCTGGCGACGAAGATGGAAGAGTACATCAAGGGCCTCAGCTCCGACCCCGATTTGGTGGTTTATGATACCGGCAAAGAACGCTATCGGCGACTGAAGGGGCGGTGCATCGAGAAGGCTCAATCTGACATCGCGGCGGCCAAGGATGAGATGACCATCCGAGAGATCGATCGACAGCATAAGCTGGCGGCTGAGGATTTGAAGAAGGCTGCTGCAGCTGAGGAAGTGCAGGAGATGGAAATGGAGCCTGCGATTGAGGAGATTCTGGCTAAGCATGCCAAGAAGATTGAAGACAAGCTTCGGCGGGAGATTACGCAGAAGCTTGAGGCCAGTCTATCTAAGAAGCTGCAGAAGAATCTTCACATCGGAGAGCAGAACTCTTCGCAGGCCGCATCCGCTGACAAGAAGCAGACGGCTCAACCTGGGAGGTAGGACGGTGCACCTGGGAAGCCTAAGCCGAAGAAGAAGCGGGGTGGTAAGACTCCAACGAAGCAGAATCCCAGCGCCGACAAAGAGCAGCAGGCGAAAGGCCCTACCACATCGAAGGCCAAGGGACCAAAAAACGGCGGAGGCGGCCCCGGAAAAGGGCCGCACAAGAAGTGACCAGCCACGATTTAGCGCTCCGTTGGTTCGCGAAGCTAACGTTTCGGCAGGCGGCGTTACGAATTCGCAACCGCGGAGTTCATAACCTCAGTGCCAAAGTCTTGTCCTTGGACGAGAAGAAAGCGCTGGGGCTTGGTCTGAAGTTTATCCCAACGCCCGCTGTTTCCCTTTCTACGGTCGAGTTAGATCAGCTTTGCCGACAGATTTCGCTACGTTTCTTCTTCAAGGATGCAGACCCGGCTAAGGACTATCGTTTTCGAGTGAGAATCCGAGCTGGGCACCTGATCGGAGTGAGATTCCGGAGCAGGTTTTCAGAGATTCGTCCTCGGACTTATATTTTCTGCTGAAGGCATCTAGGCCTCCTCGACACCGAAACATCTCGTTACGTGTTCGGCAGGCCTTGCGTTCCATCGCCGCAGATCGTAGTGTGGTTATTAAACCGGCCGACAAGAACATCGGGATCACTGTGATGGATCGGGAACTTTATGTTCGTCTCTGTATGGACCATCTAGGCGACAGATCGTCTTATACCCCGGTTCTCCACGATCCTACTGCCTTAGTCGTTCAGGGACTGCACGAACTGCGTCACGCATGGGGCCCTGCTTATCCCGACAGCCTTTGGAAGTTTTTTCTAGACGAACCACCTGGAGGTTGGAAACCCGCAGCCTTCTACATCCTTCCTAAGCTACATAAGAAGCAGCTCGCTGGGCGTCCGATCGCCGCTTCACATTCATGGGTTACTTCGAATGTCAGTAGATGGTTAGATGCGGAACTTAGGCCGTGGGTGCTACGACAGCATACTTACCTCCGAGACTCTCTTTCGCTACTCTTGTCGCTGGAGGAAACTTCATTTCTTAACGAGATTCTTCTAGCCACGTACGACGTCTCGTCGCTCTACCCCAGTATTCCTCTTAGGTGCGGACTCGATGCGGTGAGCAGCATTTTGCAACGAGGGAGTCACCACAGTCTTCAACCAGTCATGGCCCTACTGGAGTGGGTCATGATGAATTCTTATGTGGAGTTCGACGGCCACCTGTACCACCAGACGCAAGGGACCGCTATGGGAACTCCTGCAGCGGTCTGCTTTGCGATACTTTTCATGAGCCGCCTGGATGAACTTTTGAGGGAGAGATGGTCCGGAACACAACCTCTACGCCATGTCAGATACATCGACGATGGCCTGATTCTTTGGCCTGGATCGAGGAGTGAGTTGGAGAAGTATCTGCAGACCTTCAACGAGCTTGACCCGAATATCAAACTGACGTGGCAGATTTCGGACAGCTCAGCTGATTTTCTTGATTTGGTCTTATTCAAGGGACCGAGATTTGCTGGGCAGGGTATCTTGGATCTGAAGACATTCCAGAAACCGCTTAACCGATACCTTTATCTCCCTTTTTCGTCTTTTCATCCCCGACACTGCAAGACTGGTTTCATTGCAGCTGAACTGAAGCGCTATCTTCTCCGCTCGACTGCTGCAGATACCTTTCTCGCCTCCAAGCGCGCTTTCTACCAGCGGCTACGAAGTCGGGGTTACCCCTCTGATTTCCTTCTACCCATCTTCAGGAGCATTTTCTTTCGACAACGACCTCTCCTTCTGGAGCAGACTGCTGCCCGCCACGCACACAAACTTGAAACTCCCCCCGAACGCGGCCCCCTAGTCTTGAAGACACTGTTCACACCTTTGACCGGACGTCTCAGGCTGGGGGTGCTTTTGAGGCGCCTCAAAAGTCGTCTCATGTCTCGCGGTTTTTATGTGGGGAGAATTATAATTGCATGGAAGTGTGCACGTAACCTTCAGCGGTTACTCGTAAGGGTGCGGTTACCAAAGTCACTCGCCAATGTTGTCGAAGAAGTTCCCGAAGGCTGACTTGGCACCCTGAATTTGTTTCATTGCCTAGTTGGCGAACCCCTTTCCTAGTTGGATTCTGGGTAGTTGGGTTTCTTGTACGTAGATCTCGAGGGTAGTCTAGCTACTTTAGCTGCTACCAGACTCTCTGTTTCTGAGTTCCGAATTGTGCTGTACTGATGAAGGCGTGATTGGGTTCGCCCATCCGCCGAAACTAGTTTACGCAAGGAGGCTTTTCGGAAACTAAGGGTTTTTCAGATCTGCGTTTTTTTCACCAGTTTTTACTGTTTGATTCCTTTGCTTAAGCGTCCTCTCTACTACTGCAGCCCTTCGAAACATGAGTCAGGGTGACCCACCTATAAACGTCAGCCATGGGGGTAACCTTGCTGGTGCGCGAGTAAGCAGGGTCCACATAGCCCGGAGTGCCGACCACTCGGGTGGGATTCACTGTGGTGCCCTCTGTCATGCGCACCAGCCCAAAGTCCGACACCTTTGGCTGTTTTGGGGTTGGGGTGGAGGAGGAAAAGAGGATGGGATAACGGCAAATGTGACTCCGTCATGCGCACCAGCCCAGAATCTGATACCTTCGCCTGGAGATGAAGGGATGAGAGATGAAACACACAAAGGTTGCTGTCATGCGCACCAGCCCAAAATCTGATACCTTGGGCTGTCATGGCATGTGGAGGGGGAGAGATGAAATACACAAATGCTGCTGTCATGCGCACCAGCCCAAAGCCGGATACCTTCGGCTGGAGAGGGAGAGAGTGGGTGGGAGATGGATAGAGGGGTGGTTCAAGAACAAGGGCTGAATCTTATCGGATCATAGTAGCAAGACTACTCTGTCGCATGCGATACCCTTTTGTCAGTATAAACCGTTTGCCAGTGACAGGTGTTCCTGAAACGGTTGACAGGTTTGCATACAGGCATCAAGCAGCACGTTTGACTCGCCAGCAGCACTCAACCATCACATCCCCTTCCCTTTTCCCTTACTCCTCCCCCCACCTGCATGCGCGCATCGAGCAGCATGTTGGCTCCCCAACCGCACTCCATCGCACTCCTCCTCTCCCCCCCCCCAATTACCCTTCCTCCTCCCCACACCTGCATGCGGGCATCGAGCAGCATGTTGGCGGGCTTGATGCCTCCAACCCCTGCAACACCCTCCCCCCCCCCCTTCCCCCCCACCAGACTCCCCCACACCTGCATGTGGGCATCGAGCAGCACGTTGGCTCCCCAACCGCACTCCATCGCACTCCCCCTCCCCCCCCCCCCTATTACCCTTCCTTCTCCCCAGTACCTGCATGCGGGCATCGAGCAGCACGTTGGCGGGCTTGATGTCTCGATGCACGATGTCAAACTGGTGGAGGTACTCCAACCCCCGCGCCACCCCCACCAGCACATCCATGCGCTGCTGCAGCGTCAGCGTCCCCTTTTTGGGCCCTGCATGGGGAGATGACAAGTTGAAGTGAAGCGATTTGTAACAACTATACAATGGAGGCCTTCGAAAACACGACAGAAGTGCTGTGGATGTTGCAAATTGAGAAAACCTTGCTTGGAGAGATGTTTCATAAGTTTTCACGTGCCATAATTTTGCAGTTAAAATGGTTCATGGGTAATAAACTAAAAGCCTAAAAGTACATCATAGGTGGATCGTAAATGAATATATATATGTATATATATATCATACTGGTGTTTTGTTCTGTAATGTATTTCTTTCGTCCCGTGTGATCATATTTACGTACATATTATCACACAAACAGATATAGCCCACCAATGATTTTTTCTAGTACATCTCAGTTTCCCCCCCCCCCCCCCCCCCCCCCCCGTACAATATTTCATGTTTATGATCCATCATTGATGTACTTGGGAGCTTTGAGCTTCATTATTTTAATAGACGAAATCAGCTCAAATGCTTACAGTTGCTATCTTTATTGAGGTGGGACTCTCTCAAAAGAGTGCACATTGAATATGACAGAAAGGAGCAAAACTTAAGATAATCCACTCACCTCCACTTAGATACTTCTCGAGGTCCCCATTGGTGCAGAACTCGTAAATGACAATCTGTTCGTAGTGCTCCGTGGTTGTATCCATGTCCACACAGTACCCCAGCAGCCGCACCAAGTGTGGATGGCTCTTTGATGCCATCTCCTCCACCTGCAGGGGGAACGGAAATGAAGAAAAATAAAACAACTGAGCCGATGGCTCTTTGATGCCATCTCCTCCATCTCCATGAGCAGAATCTTTAAGATTAAAGACAGGAGGATGGATTCGGCACCTCTTTAGATAAGGATCACACATTGTTAAAAAAGTGTTCAAGCAACTCCTTTTCTTCCCTTGCCTCCCTCACTCACACACACCTCTCGTTTGAAGTCATTGGAGAGTATCTAGGCCCGCTTCACAGCCCACACCAGCACACCACACCACACCAAACCACACCACACCACACCACACACATACCTCTCGCTTGAAGTCGTTGGTGAGTATCTTGGCGCGCTTCACAGCCCACACCACCAACGGGTCATCTGGGCACACCCCTCGGTACACCTCCCCATAAGCTCCTGACCCAATATGGTTTGCCTCTGCCCAGTTGTCCGTTGCCTTGGCAACCACAGCTAAAGGGTATCGCTGGCACATGAGCGACTGGGTTGGTACAGAAGCTCCTCCCCCCCTCGATGCTCCATCGCTTGGTTTGGGGCCAATTGACGACTCATGTGCTGGTAGTGGGCATTGGGAGAGGGGAGGGGGGAGAGGAGAATTCAGCGGTTGTTTAGGCCACGCCCCTATGATGCTCCATCGCTTGGTTTGGGGCCACTTGACGACTCATGTGCTGGTAGTGGGCATTGAGAGAGGGGAGGGGGGAGAGGAGAATTCAGCGGTTGTTTAGGCAACGCCCCTATGATGCTCCATCGCTTGGTTTGGGGCCACTTGACGACTCATGTGCTGGGTGGGTGGGTGGGAGCAGGCATGGGGGGAGATGAGAGTCAGGCATTTTCAATGAGAAGAAACCAAAACATGGGCAACTCATGGGGCCATGCTGAGAAAACAATTATCATCCTAAGATCTACCACACTACCACATCACCAGCAGTTTAATTTTCTTTGGACCTTCGCTGACAGGCCGCTGACAAACATGAGAATATGCCGACAAACCGCTGCTCATCCCTGCGACAACTCACCACACCACACCACACCACACCACCTTCTTAGGACTTTCGTTTGCAGAGAAAGAAAACGCCAACAACAAGGAGAGCAGCAGCCAGGACACCTCCCCGAGCAATCCCAACGATAGTTCCCACAGACAGGGCAGAGGAGGGAGGAGGAGGCGAGGGAGGAGGTGAGGGTGGGGGGGGCGGGGAGAGGGAGTAACAATAGCACCCACCTGCAGTGGACTTGCGTTTGTAGATAAGCCACACGCCGCCAGCGAGGAGAGCAGCAGCTAGGACACCTCCCAGAGCAATCCCAACAATAGCTCCCACAGACAGGCCGGAGGAGGGAGGAGGAGGAGGAGCAGGAGGAGGAGAGGGAGGGGTGGGCTCCGCGATGGGGATGCAGGAGGGGCAGAATTCGCTGCACTGGTAGCAGAACTGGGAGGACGGGCTCTGCTTGACCACACAGGACTGTCCGGCTCCTGTGGGGCATACGACCCCACTGTCCAGCACCTCACTGTGGTGAGGGAGTGGGGGAGGGAGTGGGGGAGGGAGTGGGGGTGGGAGTGGGGGAGGCAGTGGGGGAGGGAGTGGGGGGGATTCGGGGTGGGAGTGGGGGTGGGAGTGGGGGAGGGAGTGGGGGTGGGAGTGGGGGAAGGGGGGGGTCAGGGATGGGGATGCAGGAGGGGCAGAATTCGCTGCACTGGTAGCAGAACTGGGAGGACGGGCTCTGCTTGACCACACAGGACTGTCCGGCTCCTGTGGGGCATACGACCCCACTGTCCAGCACCTCACTGTGGTGAGGGAGTGGGGGAGGGAGTGGGGGAGGGAGTGGGGGTGGGAGTGGGGGAGGGAGTGGGGGAGGGAGTGGGGGGGATTGGGGGTGGGAGTGGGGGTGGGAGTGGGGGAGGGAGTGGGGGTGGGAGTGGGGGAAGGGGGGGGTCAGGGATGGGGATGCAGGCAGCAGGATTGTCTGGCTCCTGAGGGGCATACAGCCCCACTGTCCAGCACCTCACTGCGATGAGAGGGAGTGGCGGAGGGAGTGGGGGAAGGAGTGGGGGAGGGAGTGGGGGAGGGAGTGGGGGAGGGAATGGCTGTTCTGTGAGGGAATTTCATTGCTCGCTGCACTGGAAGCAGAACTGGGAGGAGAGGCTCTGCTTGACAACACAGGACTGCCCGGCTCCTGTGGGGCACACAGCCCCGCTGGTCAGCACCTCACTGCGGTGAGAGGGAGTGGCGGAGGGAGTGGGGGAAGGAGGGGGTCAGGGATGGGGATGCAGGCGGCAGGATTGTCTGGCTCCTGAGGGGCATACAGCCCCACTGTCCAGCACCTCACTGCGATGAGAGGGAGTGGGGGAGGGAGTGGGGGAAGGAGTGGGGGAGGGACTGGGGGAGGGAGTGGGGGAGGGAATGGCTGTTCTGTGAGGGAATTTCATTGCTCGCTGCACTGGAAGCAGAACTGGGAGGAGAGGCACTGCTTGACAACACAGGACTGCCCGGCTCCTGTGGGGCACACAGCCCCGCTGGTCAGCACCTCACTGCGGTGAGAGGGAGTGGCGGAGGGAGTGGGGGAAGGAGGGGGTCAGGGATGGGGATGCAGGCGGCAGGATTGTCTGGCTCCTGAGGGGCATACAGCCCCACTGTCCAGCACCTCACTGCGATGAGAGGGAGTGGGGGAGGGAGTGGGGGAGGGAGTGGGGGAGGGAGTGGGGGAGGGAGTGGGGGAGGGAGTGGGGGAGGGAGTGGGGGAGGGAGTGGGGGAGGGAGTGGGGGAGGGAGTGGGGGAGGGAAAGGCTGTTATGTGAACCATACTTCATTGATCGCTGCACTGGTAGCAGAACTGGGCGGAGGGGCTCTGCTTGGTCATGCAGGACTGCCCGGCTGCTGTGGGGCATACAGCAGCCGCGCTGGTCAGCACCTCACTGTGGTAAGGAAAAGGGAAAGGAGCGTGGGAACAAAGAGTGGGAGGATGAAAGAAGAGAAGGGGAGAAATGGGAACTTCTTGACCACGCAGCACTGCCCGGCTGCTCTGGGGCATTCGGCTCCCTGTTCAGCACCTCACTTCTTTGATGCTAACAGGCTAGTGAGGCGGCTTACAGGTTAGTGAGGCGGCTAATAAAGAGGATTACAGGCTAGTGAGGCACGCTAACAGGCTAGTGAGGCGGCTTACAGGCTATTGAAGAGGCTTACAGACTAGTGAGGCGGCTTACAGGCTGGTGAGGCGGCTAACAGGCTAGTGAGGCGGCTTACAGGCTAGTGAGGCGGCTAACAGGCTAGAAAGGCGGCTTACAGGCTAGTGAGGCGGCTTACAGGCTAGAAAGGCGGCTTACAGGCTAGAAAGGCGGCTTACAGGCTAGAAAGGCGGCTTACAGGCTAGTGAGGCGGCTAACAGGCTAGAAAGGCGGCTTACAGGCTAGTGAGGCGGCTTACAGGCTAGTGAGGCGGCTTACAGGCTGGTGAGGCGGCTTACAGGCTAGTGAGGCGGCTTACAGGCTAGTGAGGCGGCTAACAGGCTAGAAAGGCGGCTTACAGGCTAGTGAGGCGGCTTACAGGCTAGAAAGGCGGCTTACAGGCTAGAAAGGCGGCTTACAGGCTAGAAAGGCGGCTTACAGGCTAGTGAGGCGGCTAACAGGCTAGAAAGGCGGCTTACAGGCTAGTGAGGCGGCTTACAGGCTAGTGAGGCGGCTTACAGGCTGGTGAGGCGGCTTACAGGCTGGTGAGGCGGCTTACAGGCTGGTGAGGCGGCTTACAGGCTGGTGAGGCGGCTTACAGGCTGGTGAGATGGACGAGGTTCCCAAGAGTTGGAGGCACAGTCCCTGAAAAATGGTTGATATCGAAGCTTCTGCATGCACGGGGATGGATAGAGTGAAAGACTATTTTTTAGTCGTCTCAAAAAATGGTTGATATCGAAGCTTCTGCATGCATGGGGATGGGTAGAGTGAAGGGATCAGGACGAATACACGATGGGATTACGGCGGCTGTGACGAGGGCGAACCGATGGTTCGCAAGTGTTGGAGGCACAGTGCCCGAGAGACATATGTGTGTGTGTATGTATGTATTTATGTATGTATGTATGTATGTATGTATGTATGTATGTATGTATGTATGTATGTATGTATGTATGTATGTATGTATGTATGTATGTATGTATGTATGTATGTATGTATGTATGTATGTATGTATGTATGTATGTGCGTGCGTGCGTGCGTGCGTGCGTATGTATGCATGGATGTATGCATGTATGTATGTATGTATGTATGTATGTATGTATGTATGTATGTATGTATGTATGTATGTATGTATGTATGTATGTATGTATGTATGTATGTATGTATGTATCTATGTATATATTTATGCATGGATGTATGCATGGATGTATGCATGTATGTATGTATGTATGTATGTATGTATGTATGTATGTATGTATGTATGTATGTATGTATGTATGTATGTATGTATGTATGTATGTATGCATGTATGTATGTATGTATATATGTATGCATGGATGAATGCATGCATGTATGTATGTATGTATGTATGTATGTATGTATGTATGTATGTATGTATGTATGTATGTATGTATGTATGTATGTATGTATGTATGTATGTATGCATGGATGTACGCATGTATGTATGTATGTATGTATGTATGTATGTATGTATGTATGTATGTATGTATGTATGTATGTATGTATGTATGTATGTATGTATGTATGTATGTATGCATGTCTTCTTACATGAGTGTGAGCTTTGTAAGATTTCCCAGACCATATGGAATCTCGCCTGAAAACTGGTTCTGACGAAACGACCTGCAAAAGAGAAAGGTTAGTACAAAGGAAAATATGAGCAAGTTAACAAGAATGTTTTATTCATGTCCCATATATTATAATATTAGATTGATGGGGCCGAAAATATTCAAATAGATCGGGGCAACATTGGCTCCAACTTTGAATACATCCAATACTTCAAAAAAACAAAACATATGGATTGAATTATGCACCTATGTACAACACATACAGTATAAACACACGATACGAGTGCATGTTCGTATGTAAGTGTGAACCCCATTCGAATTAAACAATATACATCTAGCTAGAATTCACAGCAGGCAAAGCTCTAGAGAATTCTCAACAGTGAGTCTGGCAGATACGTGGGGAGTACCTCACAGCTCACCAACAGCATGTAACGATTGGTCACAGTGAGTTTTGAAACGTCTCAAAACGGAAAGACATGAAAACTCACTCACAGCATGTAGAGATTGGTGAGGTTGGCAAAGGAAGCAGGGATGGCTCCTTTAAGGGCGTTTTTGGTGAAATCGCTGGAAACACGGAAAAAGGGATGTGCAAATGCGTACATGTGAGCAAACAGGGAAACAGGTGAGCATGCGAACGTCTGAGCACACACACACACACACATGAGAGCATGCATACATGGGAGCATGCATACCTTGAGAATGCATAAATGTGAGCACACGCACACTTGCGAGCATGCGTACATGTGAGGCACACACACACACACACACACACACATACACACATACATGTGAGTGCACAAACACATGTGAGCGCACAAACACACGTGAGCGCACAAACACATGAGAGCATTCATATATCCGAGCACAAACATACATGTGAGCACACACACACTTGTGGGCATGCGTACATGCGAGCGAGCCTCGGTAAGGAGGCGAGGGTCTCTGGGAGGGTCCCAGTGAGGCAGTTGTCAGAAAGCGCACTGGGAGGAGTGGGGCAGACAGAGGAGCGTGGGAAGGCTTTTGAGAATTCTCAAAAGTCGTACCAATATGTTTCTGGGAGGGTCCCAGAGAGGAGGTTGTCAGAAAGCATACTGGGAGGAGTGGGGCAGACAGAGGAGGGTGGGGAGGGGAAAGATGGGGAGAGGCAAGATGGGGAGGGCGAGAATATGAAGAAGATGAGAAGGATAAGGTGTTGAGAATATGGTGAATGGAGCTGGGAGTACGAGAGGCAGGGAGGCAGAGAAAGAGTGGGGGGGGGGGGCAAGTAGCACGCTCATATGCTATCAAATGCCATCAGACGCCACGCCACCACATCAGACATGGATGGGTGGTGTGAGCCTAGGTGTTGCTTACATGCTTGGCCGAGCCTAGTCTTGCTTACACACTTGGCCGAGCCTAGGTGTTTCATACACGCTTGGCCGAGCCTAGGTGTTTCATACACGCTTGGCCGAGCCTAGGTGTTTCATACACGCTTGGCCGAGCCTAGGTGTTGCTTTCACGCTTGGCTTGCACACTGATCAAACCCCAGAACACAGAGGCAAATGCCTTGCTCCAAAACACAGAGGCAAATGCCTTGCTCCAAAACACAGAGGCAAATGCCTTGCTCCAATTTCCAAGTCAAGATGTTGCTTACACGCTTTGCAAACTCGACAGGTTCCCAATCTCTGGGGGGATGGCTCCGCTGAACTGGTTCTGTGCCATGTCACTGTGAAATAGGGCGACAGGACCCGAGCCATAGCTTATAACGAGTACAGGAATGGAGTGATGTTTGATGGTTCCGTTGAGCTGGTTTTGTGCGACGTTGCTGCAATGATAGGGCAACAGGAACTCGAGCCATTGCTTATGACGTGTACACATGGGAGGAATTGAGATGTGGGAAGGAGAGAAATGACTTTTCAGTCACAGCGACCGACTGATAGAGGGACAGGACAGATAGTGCATTTGAATGGAGTGAGTGGAAAGGTTACGTACAGGTTCATAAACAGCGAGCAGCGCAGCTTACATGAAATGTAAATTAGTGAGAGATGCTAGGGTTGGAAGGACCTCCCCTCTGAAAGAATTCCTGCGCACTTGGCTGCATCGCAAAGCAGAAGATAGAGCAACGACAATAATATGTCTTAAGAATCAACAGATAGAGTAACTTCGCACAAATAGGCACGAGAACGCGAGCTGGTACTTCTGCATCAGCACAGCTCACTGTATCACTCATTTGAGGACACGAGCTGGCACAAGGTATAACACAGGGAAGGTTCTCGCATCATCCACTACACTAGCACAGCAACACACGACACGAGTGTTGGAGCTAGCCTTTTGGGGCACGTCAAGACTCTCGAGTCGACTCAGAAGTCATCTTTTGAGGCGCGTAAAAAACGCATGCTGTGTTGGCAGCGCAGCAACATACAAGTGCTGGAGCTTGCTTTCCGAGGCACCTGGAAAGCACTCTTTGTGATTGTCAGCACAGCACAGAACAGCAGCAGACATACAAGTATTGGAGCCTGGAGAGGCGAGAGATGGACGACGGAATGACTCCTGAGAACCCATTGTAGCTGAGGGACCTGCAGGTCAGACAGAGAGACAGAGAGACAGTGAGAAATTGAGGAATTTCTTAGGAATTCTAAGGAATCTCTGGATTTCCAGAAATCGACTCAACTCAAGCTGGTGCTCAGAATTCTTAGGAAAGGTGTGCGCGAGCGAGTGATCCAATGGTTGCCGCCCGCAGGCAGGGCGGGCCTTTTTGGGTCGACTCACAAGTCACCTCGTTCACATCACAGGAATGTACGACTGTAACGGAATGAAGTGCGCAAGTCATCCGATGGTTGCTGCTTTCAGGAATGAAGGGAGCAGAGCAAAGCAGCAGCAAAGAGATGTCATCTGATTGCAGAGCAAAGAGAGGGAGGGAGGAAGGGCGTGCCTTTTGAGTCGACTCACAAGTCACCCCCCTTACAGGTACGCAAGATTGATGAGCGCAGAGAAAGTGGCAGGAAGGGTGCCTGTGAGAGTGTTGTTCCCAAGGTTGCTGTGGGGCAGGGATGAGTTTTGAAGAACACGTAGACAAGTTTAAGGGAATTGGAAACGAGTTTTGAGACGTCTCAACAATCGGCGCCTGTGAGAGTGTTGTTCCCAAGGTTGCTGTAGCGGAGGGATGAGGTATGAAGAAGACGTAGTCAAGATGAAAACTGTTTTTGAGGCGCCTCCAAAACAGGCAGGAAGGGTGCCTGTGAGAGTGTTGTTCCCAAGGTTGCTGTAGCGGAGGGATGAGGTATGAAGAAGACGTAGAAAGGTTTACGCGAAGATGGAGACACGTTCAAGAGACATATTGTGAGTCACTTTCGAGAGACATATTGTGAGTCACTTTCGAGAGATAAAAAAGGCAACTCCAGTATGGAGGAAACGAGGTCAAGCGTAGATGGGACCGGATTGAAGAGAAGGTGGAAGATAACAGACTCGTTTAAGTCACACAGGTTACGACGTCACGTAAGTGCACACTACGAAGTGAGTAGAGTTCAAAGACCGAGTTCAAAGACCGAGTTCAAAGACCGAGTTCAAAGACCGAGTTCAAAGACCGAGTTCAAAGACCGAGTTCAAAGACCGAGTTCAAAGACCGAGTTCAAAGACCGAGTTCAAAGACCGAGTTGCAGCACACAACTTGAGGCGCCTCAAACATAGTATCACGTGAGTAGAGTTTAAAGTCCGTGTTGTATTGTAGCACACTACTTTCTAACTTGGCCTTTTCCTTCCTCACAGCGTCTGCAGGCGTGAGAGCTGGCCGATGCTGGGGGGAATGGACCCCCTCAGATACCATACCGCTTTGTACCATACCGTTTTGTACCATTCCTGCCCCTCTCCCCCTCCTTTCCCTCCCCTCTCTCACTGCGTCTGCAGGCGTGAGAGCTGGCCGATGCTGGGGGGAATGGACCCTTTCAGATAGTTTAAGCTCAGATTGCTGAGGGGAATGGGCGGAGGATGAAGGGGGAAAGGAACGGAGGAGGAGAAGAGCGGAGAAGGAAAGAATTCTAAACAAACAAATGAGGAGTTTCGACATTTGAAAAGCCGCAAGAATGGACCCAGTTAGAGTTTGAGCTCAGATCGCGGGGGAAGGGAGGAGGGGGGGAAGGGAGGAGGCGGGGAAGGGAGGAGGAGGGGACGGGAGGAGGGGGGGAAGGGAGGAGGGGGGGAGAGGGAGGAGGGGAAGACGAGGGGGGAAGGGGAGTCGGAAGGGGAGGGAAGGAAGGGGAGGAGAGGGGGATAGGGAGGAGGGAGGGACCAGGGGTGCGCAGAGAGGGCAGGGGAGAGAAAATGGGGTAGAGGGAAGCAGGGGACAAGGGGAAGGAGAGACGGAAAGATGTTGCAGAGGCACAGTAGCAGCGAGTATGCTTTGCTACACACCACACTCACATCACAGTGAGTGTTGTGAGCTTGCCTATATCGGAGCAGATGGTTCCAGTGAGATTGGAGTTGTGAAGATCACTGCAGGAAGGCAGAGAGGGGGACGGGAGCATAGAATAAGCTATTTCCGTATCGGGTTTTGTAAGATTGGATCTGTGAAGATCACTGCAGGAGGGCAGAGTGGGAGTTGGGAGAGAGCATATAACAAGCTTGTCCGGTAACAGTTTAATGAGATTGGACCTGTGAAGTGAAGATCACTGCAGGAAGGCAGAGGGCGGGATGGGAGCATATTATAAGCTCTTTCAGTATAAGTTTTGTGTAGATTGGATCTGTGAAGATCACTGCAGGAAGGTAGAGGGCGGGATGGGAGCATATTATAAGCTCTTTCAGTATAAGTTTTGTGTAGATTGGATCTGTGAAGATCACTGCGGAAGGGCAGAGGGTGGACGGTGGGAGCTGGAGGGGAAAAAGAGGGGGTTTTGAGTTGGCTCAGAACTGATTCGAATGTGTCTTGAAAGAGATTGGAGCAGTGCAGCGGAGGGTTGGCCGGGACAGCAGCAGCAAGGGAAAGGAGGAGCAATGAGGACATTGAAGGGAGGAGCAATGCGGGACATTGAAGGGAGGAGCAATGCGGGACATTGAAGGGAGGAACCATGAGTTCGCTTAAGGCCTAGTCAATGCAAAGATCATCGAAATGCAAGATTGCTGTTGAGGCGCCTCTCAAAAGGGGTGGACGAGACAGCAGCAAGGGAAAGGTGGCGAATGCAGGAAAGAACAATGAGTTATCTAATGTCTGGTGTATAGAAAAGGGGGGGAGAGGGAGAAAGTAGGGTGGTGCGGGGAGGAAGGATGGTGGGGGGATGTGATGTGTGAGTGCAAAGAGCATCAAGGCCTAGTGCTTATAACGCGTACAGCTTACTTCCCCCACTGTACGTCACGCAAAATGTGATTGTTCTGTCCAGTTTATGCCCAGCTGAGCCCCACCTTCACCGTGCACTTTATAACATGGCACAATGCTTCTAACGAGTACAGCTGCATCTTTCAGCGCAGAAAACTCACATGGTGTTGACTGTGCCGTCTTTGTTACAACGTAACCCCACCTCCATCCCACATGTAGTGGTGTTGTTCCAAGTGTTACCCTTAACACCCATCTCCACCGCACACTGCTCCAATATTTCACCTGCACACACGCAGAGGGGTGGCATTGGTGAACCAGGTTCAAGGTTTGAGAAAGTGAACCAACCTACTGACACAATGTTACTACAGGAACACGCGTTACAGACGCATGCGATAAAGACACATCCGATACAGACGCATGCAATGCAGATACAAGTGTACGCGATACAAGAACAAACCTTGAACAGAGTTCACAGTGACGGCCAATGAAAGCGACGCATTGCGGCAAAACGCGATGAAGCCAAGGAACAGCAGTAGTAGCGTTGGCAGCCGCCGCCGTGGCGATGCCAGCAACATCGCCTGGTGGTGGTAACCTCGCGATGGGGGCCAAAGCGAATGATCCTGCTGTTCGCAAACCCTGGAGGTCGCCGTCGCCATTCGCGAGGCGTCGCACGGACCAAGGGCGGCTGGGAGGCGCGACTGTCTATGACCAGGGGAGGTGTATCAGTGTCGAGGCTAACCGAAGCGCTGAATGAAGGAAACGTACTAATATCGACACTAAATAAATACGCGGTTGGGAGGAGAGACTGCCTCCGCGACCTGTGGTAACCTAGTGAATTAGTGTCGCCTAGGGTTGTCGGAGGATATAAGTCGCGCAGAGATAGTCGCCTAGGTCTCGTCGCCTAGGTCTCGTCGCCTAGCCATTGTGTGTCTCCTACTGGTTGTCGCTTACAGATTGTCGCAGCAAGAGATTGTAGCATATTGTCGCCTACAGGCGATTGGCGGGAATCGCGAGTCCGGTAGAGGGGGTGGGCTGGCACTACAATGCACGCTACTTCATGCAAATGGCTGAGACGCGCACGCGATAATCGCATTCGGGACGAGCACAGGCTCGTACTGCTTAGCTTGAAACACGCGCTGAGCGAACGAAGCCGTTCGACTTGCATCAGAGCTCCTAGGCTATTGCAATTATGTGACCTAGGGACTATCCAGTGACCAAAATCCCGCAACGTCGAATGGATATCATCGGGAATCTTTCTAAGAACCTTATCTTAAAACGCGTACGATGCGGTTCACAATCGTAGGCTCGACTCTCGCAGAAAATCTTCACGGACTCGATTACTTACATGACGTGGCAGTGCGGCGACATTTACGGCCAGGCCCTAATACCTTACGCTTTTGAAGAATATAATTGCCTGGAATGGATCTGGTATGACGAGTTGCTTTGCTAGGGCGAGGAGTGTGGTGGATGTGCGTTCTGCTTGTGGAAAAAGCTGCCATTGTCGTGCGTATGGAGAAAATCCATCCAATCCAACGGTTACTTCGAGGATCGAGTTGGAGCTCAAGTGAGTACGGTTGAGTGCGATAATGTGCGAGCCAGAGCTTTACGTACGTAACCTTGATTGGTTAGCTTCGGTTCGGAGTAAAACTGTCACCACAATCTATCATGGAACCAGTCATGTCAAGAGTCATGCATGAAACGACGAAGAACTCGCAGACACGCAGTGTGAAGCGAAGTGGTGAGTGCACACAGACTCCGAGAGAGAGATGAGTGATTTCGATTTCCACAACACCCCCTCATCATCATCTCTCATCTCATCTCATCCACCATCACACCCTGCCACTCACTTGCACCACTTCCCACACATTCCTTCCGCGAGGACACCAAGACGGCTGGAGTTTGGTTACAGAATAACATCCGGAAATCAGGTGTAGGGATTTACTAATTTATCACTGTAGACATAGCAGGGTGGATAAGGTGGTCTCTACCGTATCTTACTTTAGTGACCCTGGTTTGTTCTAACTAAGGGAGGTGCCTCATTTTTCTTATTTCCTGGCAATGCATACGGATATGGAGAAGCGTGAGGTGCACGCAACGCGAAGAGCGTTGAATCATGCGACAAACTTGCAACATGATCTCTTCATGAACGACCGTTTCAGGGATTCAACGGCACCGAAGGGCACCATTTCAGGCATCTCATCAAGTTGAAGCTCATCATCCATGGTGTGCCCGGGTTCATAATGCCTCCCAGCCTCCTGATCAATCTTCAGCAGCCTCGACCATTTTGTTGACAAACTTTGGATGTTCAGGGAAATCGTTTTCATCTCTAAATCACTCTGTAAATGACAAGTCTACTCATTTGTTGCCTCCTTGTGTTACGGTACTCCAACGAACATCCATCCCACCAAGAAGCTCAAGCTTGTGCGGCAGACAGCATGGAAGCAATATGGATTCCGCCAACTGTCTCGTCAAAAAGTTCATCATACATGGTGCACTTGGGCCCATAGAACCTCCCGGCCTCCTGATCAATCTTCAGCACCATTCTGTGATCAACAAGCAGGTCTACACTACACAATCATTGCCTCCCCTCCTCCTACTCAGTGGTCGTGCCACCACCAATAAGTTGAAGCTCAGCATCCATGGTGCGCTTGGGCCCATAGAACCTCCCGGCCTCCTGATCAATCATGAGCTGAAGAGAGCGTGGGAGCACCATGGGTTTCACCAAGCTTCCCATCAAGAAGTTGAAGCTTGTGATTCTGTAATTGACAAGTACCGTAAGCCTACACACCCGTTGCCTCCTACTCAGCGAGCCGCCCCATCAAGAACCTCTAGCTCATCATCCATGGTGCGCTTGGGCCCATAGAACCTCCCAACCTTTTGCAGCTTGAGCACAAGTCTATAATCGACAAGTCCGCGCATTCGTTGCTTCCTATTTCGTGGGCGCCCCATCAAGAAGCTCCAGCTCGTCATCCATGGTGCGCCCAGCGGGCGCATAGAACCTCCCAGCCTCCTGATCAATCTTCAGCAGCCTCGACTCCTTGGTCGACGCCTCACAAGCGCCGAGGAACTCCGCTCTCAGCGCGCCCAACTGCGCGACGATTTCAGCCATGTGCGGGCGCGACGAGGCAGGCATGGATGTGCATCGTAGTGCGAGCTCGACTAGTTTGAGTAAAAGCTCATTGGGGACCGAGTCAAGATTCGGGTCTTTGAGTGCTTCAATGTCGCCTGCTTGCACACGCTTGTCGACCTGGAGGGGCAGACTGTTGAGGAGACAGATGACTGAATGTTTGGGACAGTGCAGCTGCACCAGTTTGAGTAGAAGCTCATAAGGAAGCTCGTTAGGCGCTGACTCGAGGTTAGGGTCTTGGGCCTCGATGTCGCCCGCTTGCACACGTTTGTTCACCTAGAGGGGTAGACAATTGGGGGGCCAAATGACTGAATATTTGGGACAGCGGGGCTGCACCAGTTTGAGTAGAAGCTCGTTGGGGAGTGAATATAGGTTCGGGTCTTTGAGGGCCTCGATGTCGCCCGCTTGCACACGTTTGTTCACCTAGAGGGGTAGACAGGTGGGAGGAGAATTGACTAATCATTTGGGACAGTGCGAGCTCCACCAGTTTGAGTAGAAGCTCATTGGGCAACGAATCGAGGTTAAGGTCTTTGAGGGCTTGCAAGTTGCGGAAAATGGTGGATGGAAAGGGAAAGTATGGACAGCCCCAAAGGGATGTATGCAACGAGGCAATTGCGTATGATTGAAAATGCGAAAAAAAAACGCATGTACATGAAGGGGATGTAGATGAATAATTTGATTATGTTGCACACACACTTACCCAGTCTTTAATGTTCACTCCTCGATCCTCTTGCATCACGATAGGCTTGGTCAGCAGGATCTCAAGCATCATCACACCAAAGCTGTTGACAAGGAGGGATGGGTTTAAACAAATTAATACGTAGGTGTGTTATGAGATGACTCAAAACCCACCAGGCTTGGTCAGCAGGATCTCAAGCATCATGACGCCAAAGCTGTTGAAGCAGGGGAACGGGTTCAACACATGGGTGAAAGACAAGTGAAGAAAGCAAAAGAAAGGCGAAGGTGACCATGCTCCATGGCACGGGGCTGGGTCAGCATGATCTCAACTCAAGCATCATCACCCTGAAGCTGTTGAAGCAGGGGAACGGGTTTAACACATGGGTGGAAGACAAGTGAAGAAAGCAAAAGATAGGCAAAGGTGACCGTGCTCCATGGCACGGGGCTGGGTCAGAATGATCTCAAGCATCATCACACCAAAGATGGTGAAGAGGGGAGGAAAGGGTGGGGGGATGGGGATTCAACACATTCGTGAAAAATGAGTCCAAACAAAAAAAAGGTAAAGGTGAACACAGTCCATTGCACGAGGCGACAGCATGATCTCACGCATCATGACACCGAAGCTGATGAAGCAGGGGAATTGATAATTAGGTTTGTTCCGAGTCGACCCAAAACACAACAGGCTTGGTCAGCAGGATCTCAAGCATCATCACACCGAAGCTATTGAAGAAAGAGGGTGATGAAGGAAATGAGAAGCGCAAAGGTGAAGGAAATGAGAGAAACAAAGAATAGTCAAAGGTGGTCAGGGACGAGTATCATGTGAAAAGAAACTGCAAAGCTTGTCACTTGGAAGTGCGTACTACAAGGAATCACTGATTCGTCTAAGCATGTTGGGCATGGGGATGATTCAACCCAATGTTGCAGGGAATTGTTGAGAATTCTAAAAAATACC